TAGTCTTTAATTAATGTTCACAATCTTTTTTTAATTTATCAGTTAATATATTTTATTAAACATAGATATTTTTCCATTTCTTAATTAACAAATTTAATGATGCCAAAATAACATTCATAATGTCGTACCACGCATGTAACACTGGATCTGATTCCATAATAATTAGTAAATTTTTTTGAATGACTTTACTATTTGACACAAAAATTTGAGAGACTTGTAAAAATAAAACATTACTAGCACAACCTTCTAGATTGCATAAATGGCAAGTGAATCGTTTCTAGATTGCATATATAGCAAGTAAATAACTTACTTCTTCATCTCTCTCACCGATCTATAACAAAAATTTAATGGAAATTTTATAGTATTCATGTTCATTCAATCTAATTTATTGAATTTAAATCGAATAGTCATGATTCAGTGCATGGAAAAAGTTGAAATAACTTACTTCTTCATCTCTCTCACCGGTCTAATCTAAGATATCGGAATTCAAAATGATAATGACATTTGGAATAGGATATATAACCATGTATATGATCCAAATCTACAAAATCCATTACTTGCCATATATATATATATATATAGAAAGAGGGAGTTTTTCCATGTGTATTTTAAAAGGAATTTTCGTGCCATCACTCTATAACCAGTACACAATCCGAGCATATACTGTAGCCAAGTGAATCGTTAAATTTCTACATTTCACGCTAGCCGAACCCTCTCCCTGTAACAATGATGGTTTACACTTTCGTGGGCTACTTCGCAGCAGGTTTGGCTGTTCAGGTTCTTGTTGCAAAGATCTTGAAATTATGCTGGATTGTCCTGTGGAGGCCATATGCCTTGATTGAAAGCTTTGAAAAGCAAGGAATCAAAGGGCCATCCTACTCTATCCTCCACGGTACTCTTCCTGAAATGAAGACCCTGCTAAAAGCTGCGAATGAAGTGATACTAGATACAAAATGCCATGACATCGCTCAAAGAGTTCAGTCGTACTATAATAGATGGTCCGCTGAATATGGTGATCAGCTCATTTCTTCCTCCTCTTTGGTTCTCAGTTTTGCATGCTACTGGGTATTTTAATATTGTTTAAGGGATTTTTCTACACTCCTAAACAATGTTTCTTCATATCAAAACCTATATATTTGTTATAGTTTTGATAATTACTCGAAGAATTACGTGAATATGGATCAATTTTATTCATCTCTAAATGTTGCAACAGTGGGAGCTGTGCATGTACATATACATATAATTCATTTGCACATGTGCAAATACTGTTAATAAAGCATCTATCCCAGACTGTTAAAGGTATAAAACAATATAGAAGATTGAGAACATAGAATCTAGACTCGACTATCTGATTCGATATGATATCAGAGCCTCAAAACCCCCCGCAAATAACCTGTAGCTACCACTTGACAAACCTCGAAAGACGGATTGCAAGCAAGGGGGGTGTTAAAACATCTGTCCTAGATCGAATAACTACAAAAACATAAAAGACTAAGAATAGGCCAGTACCCACCACAAGGGTTAAGCCTTTTGGATGAAACCTGTGTATTTGAGCTGTTAATGATTGATAAAAAGTGATGGAAAATGGAGGCATTTGTTATGATGTATACAGGAGAGGTATTTTTGTTCTGGCGTGGGGTGCAACCAGCATTAAGGATAGCAGACCCTAAGTTAGCCAAGCAGATACTATCAGATAAGTCTGGTGCCTATGCGCAACCACAGTTCGACCACAGATTATTATCATTCGCGGGGAATGGAGTGGGTCAATTGAATGGACCAGACTGGGTTAGACACAGAAGTATTCTCACTCCTGCCTTCACCAAGGACAAGCTCAAGGTATCGAACCTCTGATCTTAACATTATATATTAGTTTTGATGTCTATTATTATTTTAATTTGTTGAGTCTACCATCTTATGACAAAGAGAATGGCAGCATGCACCATAGACATGATTGACGATTGGAAAAATAGGGTTCGTATAGCTGACCGTCAATATATCACGATAGAAATGAGTGAAGAGTTTAAAAAGCTCACTTGTGATGTAATTACTCATACTGCCTTTGGGAGTAACTATGTTGAACGAGGAGAAGTCTTTAAAGCACAAGACGAGCTTATACACCATTGCGTTGCTACTATGGCAGACCTTTACATCCCCGGCAGCCGGTAATTTCTTCACTCAGTAACCTTCCTCTCTTCTAATACAGCTAAGATTCTAAGGGGTGATCTTGTGTGTGCAAAACCCTAGTGATTGCTCATTTTTCTTGACCAAATTTCTTCCTACACCATCAAACCGTCAAATGTGGAAGATGGAAAACAATGTGAACAAATCACCAAGACGCCTAATACAGGGGAGACTAGAGCCGGCCCAAGCTAGAGGAAATTTAGATGGATGTTATGGGGATGATGTACTTGGTTTACTGGTTGAAGCCTCAAAAACTACCAATAAGAGTCTCAAATTGACAATGGATGAAATCATAGACGAGTGCAAGCAATTCTTCTTTTCTGGCCACGAGACCACCACCAAACTATTAACTTGGACCATTTTCTTGTTGAGCTTGCATCAAGAATGGCAAGAAAGAGTGAGGGAAGAGGTGTTGACGGAATGCGGGATGGGAATTCCTGATGCAGATATGGTTTCCAAGTTAAAATTGGTAAACTATACAATAATGTTCTTCTTTTTTAAGTACACCAACAAAGCATATTTTTAAAATCTGATGAAGGGGGCTTTGCTTAATCTGCAGCTGAACATGGTTCTTCTTGAGACTTTGAGGCTGTATTGTCCTGTACTGGAAACCCTCAGGGAGACATCAAGAGCTACGAAACTAGGGGATTTCCAGATTCCAAAGGGTGTGTTCATAACAATTCAATTGGTGCAGCTGCATGGGAGTAAAGAACACTGGGAAGAGGATGCGAACGATTTCAATCCATTTCAAGAATGGAGTATCTCAGGCCCCAAAACACCCAAATGCTTTCCTCGGCTTTGGAATGGGTCCGAGAGCTTGCCTAGGTCAGAATTTCGCGATGCTGGAGGTGAAATTGGTGCTTTCTCTATTGCTTCAAAGGTTTTCTTTCTTCCTCTCTCCAGGGTATAACCATGCACCAGCTAACTACTTGACCATGGAGGCACAATATGGCGTCCCTGCTATTGTGAAGCCGCTTCTTTCAAAATAATCACCTTCCCTTGCAGCACTTCCACAATTTGCCACCTTACTATATATTAGTGAATGAACATGTATAAGATTGAGATCTTCCCCATTCATTGGCTGCATTATTCTGTTCTCACTTAATAAAATACGTATGGACTGTGTCTTAATTTATCATACTCTGTCCAAACTAGTTTGGTCACTTTCATAGCTGCAGTGTAATACTGCAAGAGATTCACAATGTTACTTTTGATGACAAAAAAAAGAAACTTTTGGTGAGAAAAGCCTAAAATTTGATTGGTGGTTTAGAATTACAAGATCTCAATCGCATAGCTCACCATTTGTTAATGAGAAGAATGGATGGATTTTTCTAGAAGAACTTGCAGCAACTAGCTTAAAAATATAATTATAACGCTTTTTTATTATTATTTAATATTAAATCAATTTAAAATTGATTCTTTTAATTAAACTCAGTCTAGAATTTCATAATATATGAATTTTAAAAATTAGCTCAAGTTTAGAAACTTTTCCCATATTATTTTACTTTTTTAATTAGTATTTTTTATTTTATTCTTTAATATTATATTAATTTTTTTATTTAATATTATAGTTTTTTTAAAAATTTTTTAGATGATGATTTTTGTTTTTACCTTTTATTGGCATGACTAAGGTTTAATCAAATTAAATATTTATTTTAAGAAACAAAGTTATTAAACATGATGAGTATATAATTTGTGTTGTGAGATTAAATATTTTAATCTTAGTTATTTTTTAATTAAATATGAAGGTTATGAATTTTCAGGAGCATTAGATATTTGAATAGAAGATGATTCTTCCATAATTTTCATATATTTATCCATAACAATTAATATTAAAAATATATCTAATTAGAGATTCTTTCTTACCTAACTAAATGAATCAAGACTTTGGTTTCTAAGTATTTAATACATAACAAAAATGCATCATGATATATTCTTTATTCATGTCCATTGTAGCAAAACAAATTCATTCACTTAATTAGAATATAAATTTTATAAATTTATTTAAAAAGAACCAAAGCACATGACACGCATTACCAGAATATGTGTTAAAGATTTAAAACTTGTTTTCTGGAACCCTTCAATTAGAAAAGAATTAAAACCTCTTGATCCGAGGTTGTCTTGTGCTGTTAAAACTATTGACATGGCTGTTGTTCTTCTGTGGTTTGATTCGCAGAACAATGGTTATAAATTTGGAAAATTAAGAAGAATATTGGGCAGCAAGTGCAGAGAATACATAAACCTGCAATGCTCAATATTGCTTTTATAGAAAATTGAACTTATAAAATACTGCATAAACCTGCAATGCTCAATATTGATAATTTTATAGAAAATTGAACTTATAAAATACTCAAATTAAATATGTATTTATTTTTATTATAAATTTTATTAGTCAAAATATTTTTTAGACAACTTGCATACATTTTGACTAAAAAAAAAAAATGCATCATTTTATTGCATGTTATATGCTAGATGAAATATAACCACAATAGTAGACAAAAGGACTTAATTGAAAAACATCTAGTATTTCAGGAATCTATGTAATAAAACTGATAGTTTGAGGATCAATATGTCCGTTATAGATGATTGTAGCACTAATTTAATGTTTGCCTAAAAAATTATAGTCATCTTTTTCTTGACTGACTTTAAAATCTTCCACAAACATCTACAACCACCGTAAGCACAACACCAGCTGACGTCTAAAATGTCACCACGTGTACTTTTCTTACACATGGCCGTGTCGTACTGGCCACCGTTTCAAATAAGTTCCCACGTCAACAACCCTCCACTGGTACCCTATATAAAGCCTCCCCACTTTCTCATTTCTTTTGTCTCGTCAACCAAACAGAGCATCAAACACGAAAAAAGAAAAAAAATTGATAACAAATCAGCTCCTTCGCTGTTTCTCTCTGTCTAGGCAATGCAATTCATCTACTGGTATCTATCTCGCTTTCTCTCTATAGCTTTAGCTCTGGCTTAGTTTAATTGTTTTTTTAATTTTTCACAAAATTCCTGTTTGTTTCCTGGGAAAATAAAAACTTGTCTCTAACTTCAATTTCTCTGCAGCCAAACAGAGTTATAATTTATTTATTTTTTCTTTTTTAATTTTTGTTGCAGACGGATTGCTTCCTTCCTTGCTTGCTTGATTGACTGATTATTATAAACACGTGATCAGAATGAGGTTATTAAGATTATGGTTATTACTCTTAATTATGATCGTGTTAAATTCAATTCCGTCGGAATCAGCTGTTTCGAGTATAGATCTTGGTTCAGATTGGCTAAAAGTAGCAGTAGTGAACCTAAAGCCAGGGCAAACCCCGATTTCAATAGCGATTAACGAAATGTCGAAGAGAAAAACCCCGGCTCTAGTTGCATTCCAATCTGGAACTAGGCTTTTAGGTGAAGAAGCTGCGGGGATTACTGCACGGTATCCGGATAAAGTGTATTCGCATTTGCGTGATATGTTAGGGAAAACTTATGAGCAAGTTAAGGAGTTTTTGGAGGCAATGTATTTGCCGTTTGATGTTGTGGAGGATTCTAGAGGGGCAGTTGCATTTTGGATTGAGGATGAGAGTGCAAATGTGGGATTGTATTCAGTTGAGGAGTTGTTGGCTATGATTTTAGGGTTTGCTGGAGATTTGGCAGAGTTTCATTCGAAGGCTGTGATTAAGGATGCAGTTGTTAGTGTGCCTGCATACTTTGGGCAGGCGGAGAGGAGAGCATTGGTTCAGGCAGCACAGTTGGCTGGGATTAATGTGCTTGCTTTGATTAATGAGCATTCTGGTGCTGCTTTGCAGTATGGTATTGACAAGGATTTCTCTAATGGATCGCGGTATGTTGTGTTTTATGACATGGGTGCAAGTAGCACTTATGCTGCGCTTGTGTATTTCTCGGCTTACAATGCTAAGGAGTTTGGGAAGACTGTGTCTGTCAATCAGTTTCAGGTAAATTTAATTTAATTGGTATTCAGTGATTATTTAGAATGTTATGTTTGTTATATGGTGGCTGTTCTGATGTTACCCAAAAAAAAAAAGTTCTGATGTGCATTTTGTGTGTTTTAGGATGTTTTGCTTTCCATAAATGATGGGATGCACTGCATATTGGCTCATTATTTTGTCATAGGTTTCTCTGTCTAGAAAATGGTTTAGTTTAATGTGTGGTAATATGTGCAAAGGAAGAGGAAAAAAAAGAAGAAGGATACAAATTGGGTATGGATATTAAAATAGAGGGAACTGGAAAGTGGATACTGAAAAGAAATATGTGACTGAAATGCTGCACTGTGGTCATTCTTCGTAGTTTAAGATTGTGGTTGCTCATTCTGATCTGAATCATGATGTGTGCTGGATGCTCGCCACTACTATTTTAGTATCCTGAATATTTTTCATTTCCATCCTTGTTCTATATAGTTTGTTGTACTTATTATGGATGCCTTGTTCAGTACTCCTAGCAATCCTGTTACTGTTTGATATATTTCCAGGTTAAGGATGTCAGATGGGACCCAGAACTTGGAGGTAGGAGTATGGAATCAAGGTTGGTGGAGTTCTTTGCTGATGAGTTTAATAAACAAGTTGGGAGTGGCATTGATGTGAGGAAGTCTCCAAAGGCAATGGCTAAATTGAAGAAACAGGTGAAACGTACAAAAGAAATCTTGAGTGCAAACACTATGGCTCCTATTTCAGTTGAATCCCTCTATGATGATAGGGACTTCAGGTCAGTGGATTCTTAAGTATTCCTTACTTTTTATTCATGGCAAGGTTTTATGCATGTGCAATTTTTGTCTACTGCCATGTTGCACTTCCTCTTTGCCCCCTGAACAAATGTCCTTGTGCATATTTATGGGAATTTATCTTTAACTTCTTATACTATGAACTTACTCCTCTTTGTTAGTGAGGAAATTATTTTAATTGACTGTGATGTTATTAAGATATGAATGCATACTGGTGGTTAGGTACTTTGTTGAGCTTGATGCTTGTATTTCAGTGGCACCTCTGTGGATTTCCTTGCCCAAAATCACTCAAATCATTATCTTTAATTTTCTTCCAGGAGCTCCATAACACGTGAGAAGTTTGAAGAGCTCTGTGGAGACCTGTGGGACAGATCTCTTGTGCCCATCAAGGAAGTTTTGAAGCATTCAGGTCTGAAGGTGGATGAGATATATGCAGTAGAGCTTATAGGAGGTGCTACCAGAGTGCCTAAGTTGCAGGTTGGTGCTATCTTCTTCAATTTTGAATAAGCCCATGAAAACTGATAATGCTGCATAGCAATAGTTAGAATAAACTTAATGTATAGGTGTTTAAAGCAAAGTATTTTTTTCTAGTCCATTGGTTGGTGTAGTGCAATAATAAATACCATCATTGTGTGTTGCCTCCATTATTGATCAGTTTTGGCCATCTTAGTCTATTTCTAGCCATTTTGACAGTTTTGTCCCCAAATGAAGTTTCAGCTTATCAAGCCCCCTTGTGTCAGCTGCGAATATATCATTTTTGGTGGTCCAACTTCCAAGCTTTGTTCTTTCTGTTTTTATTTGCTTAGATCTCAGAGATCTAATATCTAGGATAAGAATCGTTCCTTTATATTTTAAAACCTGAATTGTAGGAGAATGATTACAGCCTTAAAAGAAGGGGATGAGAGTAGTTTTGTTTTTAGGCCTTTTAGATGTTAAGAGCTGAAGTAGCTCTTAAGTATCTGGTCAGCATTTTCTCCCTATGCCATGGACGTACCTGTGTTTCAAATTGCATGTCCCTTCAATTCTTGAGTTTCTTTATTTTCATATCTGATTTTCATTAAGGATGCAAATCATAGAAATCTCCTTTGGCACATAACAGGCTAAGCTCCAGGAATTTCTTGGAAAGAATGAACTGGACAAACATTTAGATGCTGATGAAGCTATAGTTCTTGGTTCGTCCCTGCATGCTGCAAATTTGAGTGATGGAATCAAATTGAATCGCAAGCTAGGAATGGTTGATGGTTCATCATATGGATTGGTGGTTGAGTTAGACGGGTCTGATCTGCAGAAAGATGAGAGCACCAGGCAGTTGCTTGTGCCAAGGATGAAAAAACTCCCCAGTAAGGTAAATAACATTGTGACATGACTATTGTGTTAGAGATGGATAATCAGAAAAACCATTTTGATGGTCCAAATGCATCAAATTTTCCTTTCTGGTTTTGCTTATTATGTCTCGATTGATTTGTAACAGATGTTCAGATCCATCATCCATAAGAAAGACTTTGAAGTTTCACTGGCATACGAGTCTGATCTTTTACCACCTAGTGTTACCTCTCCTATATTTGCGCAGTATGCTGTATTTGGCCTGACAGAGTCAAGCGAGAAGTAAGGATAGCTATTCTCTGAATCATATGTAGATGTATATAATGCTTCAATGCTAGTAAGTTTTCAAGTAATTTCTTCACATAATCTCCTAACATCACATTTATCTTCTGTGTCTTCCTTGTGTTGTCTAGGTATTCATCTCGGAATTTGTCCTCCCCCATCAAGGCAAATCTGCATTTTTCTCTTAGTAAAAGTGGAATTCTTTCATTGGATCGTGCAGATGCTGTTATTGAAATATCAGAATGGGTGGAAGTTCCTAAAAAGAACCTGACTGTAGAAAATACGACGACTACCTCCCCAAATTTAACACTTGAATCTGACACTAAGAACACTACTGAAGAAAGTGATGTAAATTTGAATTCTGATGGTGTGACTGACAACTCATCCAACAATAATGTTGAAGGACCAAGCACTACTGAGCCTGTTACAGAGAAGAAGCTAAAAAAGCGCACTTTTAGGGTTCCCCTGAAGGTGCGAACAAGCTAGCATTATTAAAAGTCTCTATTGCATGGTAGAAAGTTTTCTGATAGAGTGTTTTACACCTTTCTTGTTGCTCATTTCTGTTGTTTATATTTCTAGATTGTCGAGAAGACAGTGGGACCTGGAATGCCTCTGTCCAAAGAATATCTAGCTGAAGCTAAAAGAAAATTAGAAGAATTGAACAAAAAGGATGCCGAGCGAAGAAGAACTGCTGAGTTGAAAAATAATTTGGAAGGATATATATATTCTACTAAAGAAAAGGTTTGAAGTCTTCAATCAATTCAACTTTTTTACAGAAATAAAGATCAGACATTTCCATTTCTTTTGATGACCATCTTTTGGGATCTTAAACATGATCTAGGTGTTTCTTACAAATTTATATTCATCTCTATGCTTGGGTGATATGGTTAAGATGGCTCTGGAACCAGTAATTGATTTGATTACTATTAGAAATTTAGAAATTTTCTTCTATTGATCATTTTGTTATTGGATATGATTAGTCAGCATTCCATTTCCTTTAATTTATTGTTGATATCCTTACTCATGGTGCCAGCTTGAGACATCTGAGGAGTTTGAGAAAATTTCTACCGCAGATGAACGGAAATCCTTCATTGAAAAGCTTGATGAGGTGAGTCTTTTTCCTGGTTTTTCTTTAGTGTTTTTAGGAACTTGAAAGGGTTTGTCATTTTAACTTCTCTACTTCAATTTGTGATGTGGGAGCATGTTGTACTTTTTTAGGTTCAAGAATGGCTATATACAGATGGTGAAGATGCCACTGCAAAAGAGTTTGAGGAACGCCTTGATTCACTAAAAGCTATTGGTGACCCAATATTTTTCAGGTACGACAGTTTCTGGTTGTAATTTTGACCTCTGCTATGATGCCAACTGCTGTTATTTATGCAAGTGTTGAGCTTGGCTATTTGAATTAGTTATTCCTAACTTATGAATGTTTTGATATAGGTATAAAGAACTGTCAGCAAGACCAACAGCTATAGAGTTAGCTCGAAAGTATCCTGGTGAGCTGCAACAGGTACTTCAGATACTGCAGTTCAAACACCTTTTATACGATAGGTTTTTCTTTTCTGGGGCTTGGATATGTTATCATTCAGTATTGCCATTACCGCCATGAAGCTGACAGAAAAACTAGGCTGGAAAAATTGATGAACATACAAATAATCAACTAATGTCTTTTGCTGGAAATACTCCCCTGTCATGTGGTATTTAACTATTTTTCCTCCTTTTTTCAGTTGTTTTTCCCATAATCTCTGTCGCTTTGAAAACTTAATGCAGGATTCGTTCTTAAAAAAAATTTGCATGCCATATATTCTCTCTTCTATGTAATCTGTTGCATTGGTTTCTTGAATTGAAAACTGTAAAAACTTGGGACAGAGGAAACAGCGTCTTGATATTTAGTATTCCCTCTATTTGCTTGGACAAAAGTGAAATACTGAAACAGGAAAAACTAACGAAACTGGAGCTTTGATAGACTGCAGCTTTTCAGAGATTGACTTAATTATTATGTTTTCTATGTGGCTTATTTGAAGACATCATAATTAATCACATTGACCTTTTCTTTTTTCACTGGCTGCAGATTGTAAAGGGCTGGGAGACAAAGAAACCTTGGCTTCCAAAGGACAGAGTAGATGAGGTGTTTTTCACATCTACTCTTACTTGGTCTCTTCATGAGATTTTGTTGGATCTGCTTAAGATTGGAACAGTGTTCAGCAATGCTTACATCTGGATATTGTGTTTGTGTGGTTTTGCAGGTAGTGGGTGATGCTGACAAGTTAAAGAGTTGGCTGGATAAAAAGGAGGCAGAACAGAAGAAGTAAGTTTTCACTGCTCTGGTTTTTAGTATGTCTTCCTTTTTCCTGAAATTTTTTATCGTTATGCTTGCGCGCGCGCGTGCACACATGTATGTATTGTTTTAGATTTAGACATGTAATTCTCTGTTGCTGCTTGCAAAATCCTAGTTCAAGTTATAGGAAGCACTGATGCACACATTCTTTAGCATTGTTGAATGTGCTTATCTCTCTCCATGGCAACCAATTTCTTTTGTTGTATTGAATTTGAAAGAAAAGGTATCCCTAATATGCCTGCAAGTCATGTGGCATGATATAGCATTCTAGACATGTTCTCCTCCTCCTTTTTACTCAAATTGTAGGAATAATACTTCTGCTTATAAGATGGAGATCTTTATTATTTTCTTGCTTTTGGGCTTGTGCAAAATCAAGTGACTTTCCTTCTCATATCTGAACAGGGCCTCTGGCTTCAGCACACCAGTATTCACATCTGAAGAAGTATATTTGAAGGTGTTCAGTCTGCAAGAAAAGGTATCTCTGCAAGTCTTTGCAACTCCTTAATTAAGAAATAAAAATTAGATACTGCTGCAAGTCTTCCTTGCCTGTACCATTTCAATTGATATTTGATTGCTGTTTGCATAGGTTGCCAGTGTTAACAGAATTCCCAAGCCAAAGCCTAAGAAGAATGAATCTGAAACCAGCAGCAATAAAACAAGCAGCGCTGATTCAACTTCTGGCGAGACTCCTGAAGAGGAGAAACAAACAACAGACTCGAATGGTTCCGCTGATGAAAAATTCAACCCAGATGGATCGACTGTTGAAGACGTCAACCCAGAACCCGAAGCTCGTGATGAGTTATGATTAAACTGGAATGACCTGGAGGATTCTGAGTTTAAAGTATGGAGGCCGTATACGAAAAGATGGGGGGGGAGACGCAACACTGCAATTTTAATTGACGGGCGCCAATTTTCCCAGGAGGCTGCTGCCTATTCATCATCCCTCATATATAAAGACGTTCCCCTTTGTGTAGAGCTCATGATTATACCCACCCAGATCGAGAGGCATTTTCCGGGAAGCTAGTTTGCCTTGGAGAGATTTTTGATCGATCATCTTTACTTGTTTACAAAACAATCGATAGCTATTCACCTTTCTTTTGAGGAAGAGTATATTCCATTTTCATTATGAAATATAGTTTCTGTTTCCACGTATGATTTTGATCCTGTTTCTTAGTCTTGCCATAATACTCGACAAAAAAGTTGGCTTGCGAGGGAAACCTTAAAACGGAGACACAGGAACTTGTCTCAAACGGATGAGTGTTGAAAGCCATGAAACAAAGGTTTGTGTCAGTTGGTGAACAAGGAAGCCGACATGTGTTCGACCAAAATATAAGAATACCCCACTTAGATAAATCGGGTCAAATCGAAGATGCAATCAAAGCTTTCACTCGATGGAAGAGCTAGAAAATGGAAGGGTCACTGATGCAAGCAAATGCCTCGCAGAAATTTGGTTTCTTGATACATCGGTCGATCAAATTATATGCAAGCAACTTGTATATTAATGTTATATATAAATGATTTTATTCAAATTTATTTTTATATAATAATTTATTTTTCATTTTCTTAATATTAGTTTTAATATTTTCATAGATTTTTTACTGGTGCACATGCAACACTTGTTAAGAAAAAAAAAAAAAGTTCGGCAAAGCAGCAAAGAAAAACTGGTATTGCATTAATGATCGACAATTGAAAAAAAAAAGAAACTTAAGGCAATACGCGTAGTTTCGTTTCTCCTTGTACATTTATTTGTTCTCTACTTCTCTTAATTCTTCTTGAATAAAGTAGGTTAGACTTGTATTAAAAGGCAATTGAGAATGAACATGTGGATTTTGAATAGCGATATACCGTTACATTTAAGAATGTTTTTTTGAAAAATATAGGGGCAACATTTACAAGTTTTAACATACTATTAAGTAGAAGTACAAAATTGATGAAAAATTGTATGCATCCTAATTTACATTGCAGCAATCATCAAGATCATGAATTTTCAGAACTGTTTGCAGGAGTACAATGATACATGTAATTTTATTCCAGCTATATTAATGGCATTTTATACTGACAAGAGATCGTACGTATACATCTATGTATCGATATTGTCAACTATATCAGGCTCTTCACATTATAGAATTTTCCTGCAGCTTCTCGGACCATCAAAATCCTGTGTGCTATCTTCCTGGCAGAAAAGAAATGCATGCTTGAACTCAATTAGGCGACTCCGCAAAGGTTACTAGCAGAATCAACTGTGTCCATAGCCATTCAAATGTGACTTCTGCCATTTCCAAGCATTCTGTAAACTCTTCTGAAGGTCAGTATATTGAGCTGTCCAGTTTAGCTCCTGTTGTATTTTGGAAGGATCACTGAAGACCTCAGCATAGTCTCCTGGCCGGCGATCAAGGTATTCAACCTTTATGTCCACGCCTGTTGCCTTCTTACACGCATCAACAAACTCCTTCACTGATCTGCCTGTGATTGAAAGGAATCATACAATCTTCAGGGTCAAGAAATGCAAGAGAAACTGACACTCGAAACAGAAAAAACAAAAGGACATAGAAAAAAACCTTTTCCAGTTCCAACATTGTAAATGCCAACTTTCCGAGGTTTGGCGTGGGCAAGAGCTTTCACATGGGCATCAACCAGGTCAGTGACATCGATATAGTCGCGTACACATGTGCCATCAGCTGTTTTATAGTCTGTCCCTTTAACCTAAAGCCATTGACAGGAGCAGAAGAGCTTAACTTCCTTGATGTGTGTATGACAATATTATAATTAATATCATGGGGACAAAGCCACAGCACTGAGTTTTCATTTTCTTTTTTAAGTTACCTTGAGTCCAGGTATTATCCCTCGAGCTGCATCAAAACAAGCACCAGAGATTCGGCCATGCTCACGAAGCTCAGGTCGTGGAGCTTCCCCTAATCTTCCTTCTGGGTCAGACCCAATAACATTGAAGTATCTGTAAACATAGGCAGGCATTATTTTGATCAGAATGCTGGCTGCTGGACAAAAATGGAAGAAATATTTCTATGAAACTAGATAAAGAAAATTCATGCAAAATCACTAAATTAAGTATCAGACAGCATGGATAACTCCTTCATAATTGACTTTGAGAAATTCTGCTTAAATGTCTGATTAATATTGTCGGGGTCCTTGAAAGAACATTGAAGATTAAGCAAAGAGAAACAATTGAAATCAGAGCACCACTCGCCTTAGGATCATGACAGCCATGTCAGTGGTGTTGGAGAAGTCAATTATGATATCTTCTGCCATTTTCTTTGCTTTTCCATAGGGGTTGATTGGAAGCTGAAATCATACACCAGTGTAAATGAGTAAAGCATGAAGAAAAATGAGTTATGGAGTCGTTTTGGCCTTGATTCAGAACAATCTTTCAACACAAGAAATCTGAAAATCCTCAGTTAGTAGAACAGGAATGCCAGAGTCAATATCGGTCTACACCTCAAGCAGCTATTCTAAATTTACATTGTTATTGTTTAGTTAAAGAAGGCATTATGAACTAGAAAGCTGAGAAGAAGAGGTTTCTGGCGTGTCATATGGGGATTGAGCTCCAGCATTTGCATATTGGAGTGGAAAAATCTTCATAGTCTAAAACAAAGAATAAAACAGAAACTTGCCTGAGGAGTTTCTTCTCTAATCGGCATCTTAATAGGTTCTCCGTACGTTGCACAAGTGCTCGAATAGATTAATGTCTTCACATTATGTGCAGCCATTGCTTCCAAGACAACCAAGGTATTTGATGTGATATTGTGATAATATCTGCACAGCATGGTGGATTTTAATGTGCTTCTATGGAAAAAGAGTTTTAAGATGGTAGCCGGAGGAAAACATTCTAGGTATACCTAAGGGGCTCAATTGTACTTTCACCAACATATGCAACAGCAGCAAAATGCATCGCAGCATCAAATGCATTTTCGGCAAAGATTTTGTTTACAGCTTTTGCATCTCCTAGGTCAGCATATATGAACTGCAATCTCCCAGGCTCTGGAAATAGCTCTTGAAGAACTTTAACCGCACCGAGATTCCCTCGAGAAAGATTGTCCTGTCAGAGGAGGCATTGAGGTTATAAATCCATGCAGCAAAATCACATGGTTAACTTCAATATCAGAACTCATATGATCAGACAGAAAGTGCTTCAGGTTTCCTGAATAAAGCATACCACTATAGTTACTCGGTATGAATCCTTCAAGAGTCGAAGTGCAGCGTGAGAACCTATGTAACCAGCACCTCCAGTCACCAACACGTGCGTTACGCCTAGCTCATGTTGGGAGAACTGGATATGATTAGGAAAGACAATGTATCACACAACACGAAAATGAGTTCTTAAAGACTCTGATGAAGGATTCACCAACACAGGTGCCCTTTTTCTTTGTCATAGGTGGTAATAAAATCTAACCTCGTAGATAACAAAGTTTGAGATTTGCTACAGATGACAACATGCACATGAATAACAGGCATAGATTGTAAGCACAAAGCTTTGTTGTCAAGATAGTAACATACCATGTCGGGGCTGGTATAATTAGGTGAGTACACTTGCTTGAGCATGACAATGCATACTGCAATGAAGAATGCAACTGCAATAACTTTTCCAGTAGAATTGCTCTTTCTTCTTGAATCCAGGAAATCCATACCTAATGGCTCGAACATAAAATCCACAAATATATTAAGCAGAAACAAACAATCAAAGTTCCAATATTAGATATGATCAAAGAATTATCCCAGTTAACTCATCCTAAAGGTGCCATCAAACTCTACTGATCAGTGAGATTTAAGAACATGAAGTCAGAGCCAAGGATGAAGGGTTGTCGAAAAGGCCATTAACGGAGCCCTTGTGCACCATCAGAAATCGAAAAGCTCACCGGCTTAACTAATCAAGATTAGTAACTCTTAATCTTCTGATTTTAAAGCATAAGAAAAGGCATATGGGATAGTGGTAAGTCTTATGGCAACTAAATCCATCCTCCCAGAGTCTCAGAAAAACATGAAATCTGATTAGTCAATTATATGAAGGAGGTGAACAAGCAAAATCTCTTATGCTGTGTAATCTCTTGGACCATTTTTCCTGATACGCAACAAGAGTCCAATATCTCCAGAATTCTTGTTTGGAAACTAACATCTACATTTTTTTTATCTTTAAAAGCATAAATCCTGTGCCTCGACCACTAAAATGAAAGATGTTAACAAAAATACAGAAAGAAAAGAAAACTTTTGATCACGATGATGAACATACAAAGGAAAAATCAGTCAATACCGCAACCATCAATATGAAAAAGAATACCTTCAAAACTTCAATGATTGATGATAATCAGCCAAAATCACACCTCCAGAATCACACTTCAGCTGAAAAAGTACCCAATTCAACTCAAAGCTTTCATGAACTGAACATATATTTCACGGTCTATATATCTAAGCTTATGATCATCCTACAATCCCCCCCCCCTTAAATGAAGAAATCAATATAAAGTAAACCGAGTATCTGTCCCATTTAAATTAGGCATTTTAGAGTCTAGGCCTAGTATCTGTCCTAAGGAATCTTGAACGATGCAAGGATTTAAAGGAGAACAAAGAAATTGACTTTAAAAGGACACAAAAACAAGACAACCTAAGAATAGACATCAAAAATAGAACAAACACAAGATTTCCAATTCGTTATATCCTAAGAAAGCTAAATATTTAAAGAAGAATAAAAAAATCCCACCAACAAATTTCAGCTAAAACGTTAATTCCAATACTAGTCTGCCAAACAGAATCAAAATCAGATTTTTCATTCAGAAATTAAAAAACCAATCACTTCTACAGGAACCCACCTAAAATCCAACCAGAAAACCAACAAGACTTTGCAGTTCCGATTTAAAAAAACAGAGAGAGAGAGAGAGAGAGAGATGGCCAATAGGTTGAAAGGGAGAGGAAAATAGAATCAGAACATAGAAACTGGCTAGAAAAGAGTATACAACTAACCAAAGAATTAGACAACCTCTTCAGTGATTTGAAGAGAACATGGAACTAGCCAAAGAATTAGACAACCTCTTCAATGATCTTAAGAGAACACCAAAGACACCATACAAAGTGTCAAGGATTGACAGAGTGATTCTGAAGACAAGTAGCAGAAATATTATAGGAACATTTAAAGTCAAATCATGAGGTTTTAAAATGAAGGACGTTGAGTTTTCTAAATGGAAATGAATAAAGAATGGAAAGGTGGTGAGGATGTGAAGGGAAAAAGGTTAAAGATTTTGAAAATAGTCGAGGAAGGGATGATGAAACCGCCATAGATGTGAGAAGAGATGACTTGGACCAAGTCAAGTGGTCCTCGTGGATATTTTATATGCTTTGAATTGAGAGGGAAAACTAGACAATGATAGCTGTGCATTTGCTCAAATCAATTTCTGTCCACCTTGAGATTATTATTATTATTATTATTATTATTTTTCCTCTGGAGAAGTTTCTCTTTAGAAGAAAGTTAACTAATATTAAATTATAAATCAAATCTTTAATGCCGTGTTTGTACATGTGATCCATAGTAATGTTTTTGGTATTTTGTTTCGAATATAAATTTGAAAGTGGCTGATTAATTAATATACATCACAATTTTACACGTAATTTAATTTTAAAATCTTAATTAAAAAATACTATAATTTATAAATTTATAAATTTATTTTTTAAAACTGTATCTCCAAAAACTATTACAATATGAAACATACAATTGTGTCTTTTATGATTAGTGAGGTTATTGGTACATTAGAGATATCATTATTATTGAACTAAATTAAAACAAAAAAAATTGTGAGAATTTTACTCTTTATAATCTATTTTTTAACCATGAATGAACTTATAAGCAAGGCTTAGCTTTTTTTTAAATACCATTATTTAATGTATTTTTTTTAATTTCTAGCTATTTTTTTATATCAAATATAAAAATATAATAAATCAAAATAAAACAGGTCAG